ATTGTTGACAAAGAAAGTCAAACCCTATAAAACTTTTTTTTGTTTTTCTGAGATGGAGTCTTGCTCTCGTGGCCCAGGCTGAAGTGCAGTGGCGTGATCTTGGCTCACTGCAACCTCTGCCTCCTGGGTTCAAGCGATTCTCCTGCCTTAGCCTCCCGAGTAGGAGGAATTACAGGCACCAGCTACCATGCCAGGTTAATTTTTGTATTTTTAGTAGAGACGGGGTTTCACCATCTTGACCAGGCTAGTCTTGAACTCCTGACCCCGTGATCCACCTGCCTTGGCCTCCCAAAGTTCTGGGATTACAGGTGTGAGCCACCATGCCTGGCCTAAAACATTTTAAAAAGAGATTTATTCTGAGCCAAATATGAGGGAGCATGGCCCGTGACACAGCCCTCAGGAGGTCCTGAGACCATGTGCCCAAGGTGGTCTGGGTGCAGCTTGATTTTATACATTTTAGGGAGGCATGAGACATCAATCAAATATATTTAAGAAATACATGGGTTTGGTTCAGAAAGGCAGGACAAATCAAAGCAGGGGCTTCCAGGGTACAGGTAAACTTAAGTATTTTCTGATTGACAGTTGGTTGAGTTTATCTAAGACCTGGGATTAATAGAAAGGAAATGTTCGGGTTAAGATAAAGGATTGCAGAGACAGAGTTTTATTGTGCAGAGGAAGCTCTCAGATAGCAGATTTCAGAGACAGCAGGTTGTAAAATGCTTCTTATGAGACTTAAAATGGTGCTTGGCTCTTAGTTGATTATCTCCTTGATCTGGAAAGGAAGGAAGGAAAAAAAGTGGGGGCAAGTGGATTCTCTATAGAATGTGGATTTTTCCCACAAGAGATGGCTTTGCAGGGCCATTTCACGATATGGCAGAGAAACATGTTTAGGGGTAAAATATTTTTATTTTCTTCCTTGCTATGACCAGAGCCAGATTGGAAAGTAACTCACGATACACAGGGTTAAATAAAACCCATCTGATGAGAACTGATGGTTTGTAAAAGACCCCTTAGATGGGAATTTGGGCAAGAAAAAAAATCAGAGCTTAGTCCTCAACATAGAGGCCCAAGCATCTCGCTATTTATTACCTTTTGGGTGTTATTGTGACATGGTAAAAGCCCCATAAACCTGCATACTTCAACCATACCTCAGCTTTCTGTTGAAACTGCTCTCTATAACACAAATGTGAATAAATAATTAAGGACTGTAATCACCACCCTACCAGACAATGTATAAACAAATGCTAATCTTGACTTTTGTGAACCACTTAAGTAACAATCAATGTCAAAAGTCCCCTGGCCCTGGGAATGTCCGGAGCCCTTCACCCTCATCTTCGCCCAGGAATCCACTGGAATGTCAGGAATCCCTCACCCTCATCTCCGCCCAGAAGGTGATTTACAGAATCCACTAGCCCTAGCCCTCGGAATGTCTGAAGCCCCTCACCCCCACCCCCGCCCCTCACCCTCACTCCCAAGGTGATTTTTATGGGTATAAAAGGTCTTGACACCCTTCTTTCAGGGCCACGGATTGGAGAGACACGAGTCCTCCGTGGCCACCGGCAATAAAGATCCTGCAATTTGGCATACTTTTGTCTTGGTGTTGACTTTCTATGCTCGCTCCACTACAACATTATCAGACCCAAGTGATGCAACTGTTAACTATAGTTGTCTCTCAGCATCGAACGGGGGTCCCATGGCCCCCAAGGATACCAAAAATTTGTAAACGCTCAAGTCCCTTATATAAAACGGTACAGCATTTGTATATGGCTTACGCATCCTCCTGTATCCTTTAAATCGAGCTTATCCAATCCATGGCCCAAGACGGCTTTGAATGTAGCTGACACAAATTTGTAGGCCTTCTTAAAACATTATGAGTTTATACATATATATGAATATATATATATATTTAGCTCATCAGCTAATTGTTAGTGTTAGTATATTTTATGTGTGACCCAAGACAACTCTTATTCTACCAATGCAGCCCAGGGAAGCCAAAAGATTGGACGCCCCTGCTTTAAATCATCTCTAGATTACTGATAACACCTAACGAAATAAAAATGATATGTAAACTGTTGCTATGCTGTATTGTTTAATTTTTATTTTGTTGATTGTTTGATTGAGACAGAGTTTCACTTTTGCTGCCTAGGCTGAAGTGCAATGGCACAATCTCGGCTCACCACAGCCTCCACCTCCCAGGTCCAAGCGATTCTCCTGCCTCGGCCTCTGGAGTGGCTGGGATTACAGGCATGTGCTACTATGCCCGGCTAATTTTGTATTTTTAATAGAGATGAGGTTTCTCCATGTTGGTCAGGCTGGTCTTGAACTCCAAACCTCAGGTAATCTACCCACCATGGGCTCCCAAAGTGCTGGGATCACAGGCTTGAGTCACCATGCCCAGCCCATGTATTATTTATTTTTATCATTTTTGTTATTTTGTTACTTTTTCAAATATTTTTCACGCACAGTTGATTGAATCCACATGGTGTGCCAATCATATATATTATTTTTAATATACATTATTTTTCTTTTACCACTCCTGTGTGCTTCAATTTAAGCATTTTCTTGAGTTTTGTATATTGTGTAAGTAGGCATATAGTCAAAAGTGTCTTACAACATATTACTGAAATAAGGCACAATAAAAAGACAAGAATTTGTGATCCTGAGCAGAACAGTTTACCTTCCCATTATTTGTGTCAACGAAAAGTCAAACTCTGTGAAATATTTGAAGAGATTAATTCTGAGCCAAATATGAGTGACCATGGCCCATGACCCAGCCCACAGGACGTCCTGAGACCATGTGCCCAAGGTGGTTGGGGTGCCGCTTGGTTTTATACACTTTAGGGAGGCTTGAGACATCAATCACATACATTTGAGAAATACAGGCCGGGCGTGGTGGCTCACGCCTGTAATCCAAGCACTTTGGAGGCCAAGGTGGGCGGATCACCTGAGGTCGGGAGTTCAAGACCAGCCTGACCAACATGGTGAAACCCCATCTTTAAAAAAAAAAGAGAGAGAGAGAGAAATACATTGGTTTGATCCAGAAAGGCAGGACAATTCAAAGCAAGGTTGGGGTGGGGGCTTCAGGCTATAGATAAATGTAAACCTTTTCAGTTTACAATTGGTTGTCTAAAGACCTGGGATTAATGGCAATGTTCAGGTTAAGATAAAAGATTGTGGAGACCAAGGTTCTTTTGAAGTCTCATAGTGGTTGCCCTTAGAGATAATAGATGGCAAATATTTCCTATTCAGACCTTTAAAAGGTGCCAGACTCTCAATTAATCTCTTCTGGATTGGGAGAAAAAGATCTAGCTATGTTAATAGAGATTCTTTACAGATGCAGAATTTCCCCCATAAAGGATGGCCTGCAGGGCCATTTCAAAATACGGCTAAGAAACATGTTTGGGGATCAAATATTTTGATTTTCTTCTTTATCAGGTAATGTTATGCCAGAGTCAGATTGGAAAGTAAATCACGATATATAAGGTTAAATAAAACCCATCTGGGCCGGGCACGGTGGCTCAAGCCTGTAATCCCAGCACTTTGGGAGGCCGAGGCGGGTGGATCACGAGGTCAAGAGATCGAGACCATCCTGGTCAACATGGTGAAACCCCGTCTCTACTAAAACTACAAAAAAAATTAGCTGGGCATGGTGGCGCGTGCCTGTAATCCCAGCTACTCAGGAGGCTGAGGCAGGAGAATTGCCTGAACC